CGCGTCTTCCACCAACTCCATGAAATGGCTAACGATGGACGTTTCGATCTACGAACTTCGATGAGAAAGCTACAGTGATGCTTACGGTGTCACTCACTGTAGCACAGTCACCCACAGCATACACTGTCCCCAAAGGCGCGCCTTTTACTCGTAATTGCGCATCCACTTCGATAGCCTTCTTATGTACTTGGTTGGGTAGCAAGCTGGACACTCGCTCAGTAAACGGATTCATGGCGATGCCGGTCGACCAAAGTATGAAGTTGGTTGGAATTGTGTGTTGCACAGTGTTTCCTTCGGAATCGCGCGTCGTGTATATCACATAGTTGGGGTTCACGGCGCCAACACTGTTATACAAATATCAGTTACGGCAGGCCACGAAAATGCGTCTTTGGTACCGTGCGGATGTGATGAGGTCAACTCCATCTCTGCCAAACTTGTCCTGGAATGTGGTGAGTCGGCGTCTTAGCTTCGAAAGACGTTAAGTGACTAACCTCGACATATTTCGAGATAGCGGCAGAATACTGAAATCACGCTTAAGCAGGAGTTATAGGAGCATGAGAGGAACTAACACACAGTGTTCAAGATGTGTTCCCGAGACTGGATGACATGAATTGAAACCTCTTCTCGACAGATCTTGGGATACTGTACATGGCATCAGCACCAACACATGGAGGAAATCGTGATCGGCATACATAGTTCATGATGTCTTCTTGGCAGAAGTCGTAAATTTCCTTCACGGAGAGATCAGTGAAAACACTCTTGAAAGGAAAGCATAACGCACCGCTGCAGTCTCAACCCCAGTCGGCCCTCCGCCACATACCACAAAGCTCAGTAGTCTCCGACGCTCCTCAGGAGTAGTTGTCGGTAGACTAGCCGCTTCAAAATTATCTGTGGACATTCATTGAGTCGGTTTCCAAAAAATTGAGCCAGGAACGCCATATACCCATTATGCGTCTACGAATAGCTTGTGCATCACTAATAGTCTTGAGTTGGAAACAGTGTTCTAAACCGGGTACGCCGTGAGTGCTGGATGTAGACCCAACAGCAATGATGAGTTTGTCATAACTATTGAAGATTCAGTGAGATGGTCGTGGAACAAGATGGGGACGCACGGAACGTAAAAATGATCTCTGCCTCCATCTGAGTTCGTAGCCTCAACCTCCAATAGCTGCTCAGAAAAGACAACATCGATTGCTTTCCCTTGAACGAAATGTCCTCGTAGACGCGCGATGATCTTGCGAATAGGCTCTATAAGAGAGCGGACTTGAACAGTGCCTACGGCAGCAGCTGGAAGACCATAGAAGCGTGAGCAATTCGGAAAGTCAAAATTCAATTGCTTACATGGAAGTAACGGAGTGAACGTCGTGTATGTTTCCGCGGAAACGATGGTGACGTGATAATCTCCTGGAGAGAGTTTCTCCAAGACTCCCATTGCCTAGATTCGCGACGTCAAGGGACAACCTGAAAACAAGGGAAAGAAATACGCACACCCCAGCCGCCACCAACAATTACAAGTCTTGGTTTCTCTGCCAGCTTCTTGTTCTCTTCATCATCTTCATCGTCGACCTGAACGCGAACAACAGGGAGCCCTTTCGGTCCACCAAGCTCCATCAAGGCAAGTGGCGCACGAGGAACACGCTCAGCATGTTGGTCGGAATATGTGAAGGCGTCGTGAATGAAGATTCCAGTCCCAAGCGCGAACAGGCCGAAAGCTGAAGATAATGCAAAGTACCCAGTGAACTTTGCACATCTTACAACTTTCCTAGCCGCGGAATTAGTCGTCGCATAGCGGACGTGTCGGGTCAATGGACGGGCATTTTGATGACATGCTCTGCCTAGCGCGCGCGTGAACAACGGTCGCGGCGCGAAGAGCATAGACGGGTGTATTTATAAGAAGCCCGAATGGAGGGGGGAGTAGTAAATGCCAGTGTGTCGTGCAGGAGCGCTGCCACCCGGACGGATTTCATTTTTGTACGGAGGACACATCGGGTATACATGGCCGACATCACCATCGGGCGACTGAAACGGCAGATTGAAGTGGCGCGCCATATGCGATGACGCTCGGAGCATGTCGTGAGTTGCCCAAATTAGAGAAGCTTCGGGAGAGGGTTGGCCCCACGCTGGTCTAGCTGGCAGGCGGAATCCATGAGCATGTTTGCTAGGGACTGTTTTGTCATCCAACATCTGGATACAACTGAGAACACTGTTCATCTTCAAGCGGAAGGGCAAGAGCGAAAAAAGTAGAAAATGAACTACCCTGCGCATCTTGATCCGATCAGAAAGTTATCAGATAAATGTTATCGATGACTCATGCATGCTTGTCTCTTCTTGTCCTACCGTAATACGGTGGCTACTACTACATACTAATACCGCCCCAGAGCTGGAGCAATTAAAGTCCAGCAGTACCCACTCCTATTTAGGTGCCACTATAATCTGGTTGTAGATACATAAACGCAGCGTTACTTGCGTCTTTCCCGCAGCTTCTAAACACTCCGGATCCAAGCAATCGCCTACCTAAATACTAGTCAGAGTTGACCGTGGCGGTTCCATAAAGCCCTGCTTCTGGCACAGATGACTAATGTGTCGGCGTGTCTCGGTCTCATTAGTGCCTTCATGTCCGTGTCCGAGTCAACGAAAATCGGCAGGAACTTGCAAGCTGCGCGAATTCCGAGATTGCCGGCGACTTGAGTGCACAGCATACGTGATGCTCTACCAGAACCTTCGCGAGGAATTTGATTATTTGATTATTTGAATTATTGAAAGCTTTTCAGCACTGTGTGTTTTCGCTGTTCTCGGACTACTTACTTCGGTCAACACTGCGCACCTCTCGTGTGGGAATGTTCGGTCGTCTTCACTCTTCCGCTAACAATGTGTAGAAAGGCTCACTCGCCTTCGATTTCGTCTGCCACCGTGGCCAGGCGCGTTTGGTGATACTGCCATATGGAACGCAGACTTGAAGTGCAGCAACGTTGTAGAGAAAATGCCGATCACTTGACTGGATAGGCATCGAGTCACGGTACGATTGTCATCTTAGAAGTATGTGGCGCGATGGCGCCACCGCAGGGGAATAGAAATACATACACACCGCAACTTCCCATCCGAAAGTGACGGAAGACAACCAAAGGCGAGATACACTGAATTTACAATGATTGGGATGGATACACCTTGAGTTCCATTGAATGAGTCTACAAATTGAGTCTAAATCAGTCCGTGGAGAAACGTTCCCGACGCTTACCTGCTTCTCCTTTACCAAACATCATATCGCCTAACAATCCCATCGTCCGCGGCGGTCCACATCTGAGCGCCACCATCACGCGAACAGACTTGACGTGTCGCGTAGCAATCTGGACCCACAATTTCTGCATCCACCTTCACATTTCCGTCATCGCCAAGCGAGGCGACGTAAGGGAGCCCATCACTAGTACACACGGCTAACCTATGCTTGTCAATCCATACAAGGTCTTCGGTGGCAGCGGCACTCCCTCCAGCGCCGCGCTTCCACTGTGTGATGGGTCTTTCCAGGGACCGAACATCAAAGGCGCGAACGAGTCCTCGAGAGTCACCAATCGCTAACAACGCGCCCTCGGAGTGATATCCCAAGTTGCTGCCGCCACCCTGTATGGCCCGTTCTTTGACTATGCCTTCCTCGCTCTGCTGAGGCGTACGTAAATCAAAGCGATGTACACCTCCAGATGTCGCTGTGTATAAAGTTCTTTCATCTGCCAACGCCAACGAGTTGACAGCACTGTCTAACCACTCGATGGAAACCTGCTTCGCACCAGGAACATCCCACACTCTCACTGTACCGTCCGCCCCCGATGAAATCACTGTTTTGCCCACACCCACGATCGCTGTCGATGTCACAGAGCGAGTGTGGCCCATGAAAGTGCGTGCAGCAGTGAGCGGGACGCCATCAGATTCAACTTCTGATGCGGAGAGAATGGAGACCGAAAAATCTGCAGACGAAGAGAGCAGGACGCGAGAAGACGGGAAGAATTTCAGCGATGTGACTGTGCTTTTGTGGGGGCGGGACTTCACAGTGCTCAACGTTGCTTGCGTGTTGCGAGAAGAGCCATTGGTCGAGGTGCCATTGGCCATTGTTGGTCGTAATCCGGTAGGATAGAGCGCGACGCCACCGTCCAGAAAGCCCGTAGCATACTGCTGTCCATCTGGAGCAACATCGAACGCCGTAACCCGATGAGGGCTCTCTGGATTAGAATAGTACGGGTCCGTGTATTCACGAGCTGGGGCAAAGATCTTGGTGGATGGAATATCCAGACCCCGAGAAGAAACAGTATAGCGAGTTTTGTTCAAGTCCACCTGAAGAATCTGAGCTCATGAGTGGGAATTGTATGGAAATGTACCGACTCGTTCCAGTTTAGCGTCTCCGTCTCCGCGGTGTTGGAAGATTACCAGATTTCGGTCCACCTCGTCAAGCACAACGCGAAGTTTGCCATGGACGCCGCCACCATCTCTCTGCGAATTCGAGGGCGATTGCGAAGGATAACATGATACCCAGATGTCCTCCCACGGCACGACTCCGTCGGTCACATCCTTAATCACACTCATAAACGTAGGCTGAATAGTGCTAATCGGTAACGGGGAGGGTCCCGCAGACATCGTCGTAATCGCAAGCCAAGATGCGAAAGAGATCGATGACGCATGCCGGACAGTATTCAGTATTTCGTTCGTAGAACTTATATTGCTCGCCAAACCTTTTACAATCACAGACTCCAGAGCTTCCTAGAGCTTCACGCTTCAAGCTTGAAGCGTGATAAAAACCTATTTTTGTATACACTTTGGTACTACTTTGGTTTTGTCCCGCTTTCTTACCAGTTATTTACCGGTTTAAAGCCTCGTCCAGCCCGCAAGACAGTTGTTTTCTACCACCTATTAGGCGCAGAAACCTCCCGGGGGTCTATTCAACAATTAATCATTACCGTGCGCCACCCTACATTAGGGTGGCCAAAAAAGCTGCAGTTGTATGCTCGGTTTATAATTGGGGACACCCAGGATTGAACTGGGGACCTCCAGAAGACGATACTTCAGTCTGTTGCTCTCCCAACTGAGCTATGTCCCCGACAGGACGAAGATCCGAGGCAAATGATCTACAAGAAAAAGTTGCAGAGCTCAAGTCTGCAAAGCTTTACCATGTAATTATAATAGAGCAATTCAAATCGCTCCAGATTCGCTCCGTCCTTCTGCAGTAGATCTCAACGTACTCATGGCTTAAACCGAGTGCGAGGCCGAGCTACGTCTTTGCAAGCCACCATCATGATCCTTCCAGCACATCCGGCTCTGATCGTGTTGCCCGACCCATTACATTTGATTCTACGATCCGAGTCCGGGGCCAGCTGAAAATCTCCCTCTGAGATCCACCCCGAAGCCGATGCCTACTGTCTACTCAGTCCTGGCTTTCCAATTGAACCCCGACTTGATATCAAGAAACGCGGGCGGATGTGCTCGTATGCACACCTGAACGCCGGTTAGCATCTGCCCCAGCTCGTCTTTAATCAAACGGTCCTCCGATACGGTTGAACACCACCTACACGCGCTTCTTGCTTCCCTCCTACACGTCGTCGGTCCTAGCCGAATACGGGGAAGGCGCTTTCAGCTTATTTTGATCATCACGCCACCACTGCAAAACCGGCTAATGGCCTTGCTCTCGTGACTAAAGCCAAGTGGGCTATGAAGTACATAACAAGTCTCCATGCAGAAATCGAATTATTTTTAAATCTGACAACCCATTCAATGGACGTGCGCTTCGAAGTTCACACAGGGAGGCGATGCGGAAGGGACCAGGGCTTGGGCAGATATAGATATGAACGACCCTTGTTCGTACCGACCTTCCAAGAAACCTTCATGTTCATCCAGACAACAGGGTACGTGTCGTCAGGTCGTCTAAATCGTTCTCTAACAGCCTGCAGCCCAATACCCACCCTCCCACAAGAGGTGATCGATGTTGTTATCGATCAATTGGTCGACTGTCCCTCATCACTAAAAGCATGCTCATTGGTGTGTTCGTCTTGGACGTACTACAGCCAAGCACAACTTTTCTCGAACATCTTGCTTGACGGGACTCCGTATCCGAGCGTGCAAGCGGTTCCTCCCATCGTCAAGTTCACCCGCTTCCTACGAAAGGCTCCCCGTTTCGCGCGCTTCGTGCGCACCCTAGAGATAAAAGATGGTGACGACTATATCACCAATCGCTGGCTGCTAGGCTCGGTTGGACGCCTAGAATCCCTTCTCCCCATCCTCACGAATGTCCACACATTTCATCTTAACTTCCGTAGTCTCTCGTGGGGGGCCGCTCACATCGTGAAGAAGCCTCTTCGCGAGATGTTGCAGCATTCTGAGCTTAGGCATGTCACCATAAGCGGTATCATGGGCATACCCAGCTTAGACCATCTCTTCTCTCTCTTCGGCAAGGGGTCCAATGTCCGAGACCTTCACCTAGTAAACGTCCAGACGAATGGTCCGAGCGACGAGTCCCGAGTCTACGTCCCTGGTAGCGTTAAGTTACCTCTTGATGTCATCACGCTATCCCTTTCCTCCACCGATATATTGAACCTTGCGGACTGGGTTCCTCTCTCGACGAGAGTCGCGGACTTCTCGGGGCTTCGCAGATTGCGCATATGCATCGTCGAGCCTTCGGAAGTGAGGGCTGCCGCTAGACTCCTCGAGACAATCACAACCGATTCTCTAGAGAGCGTCGAAATTCAATTAGACGACCTTGGTAAGCTGCCATGAGACCCATTCAGACGATTTCGTGTTGACCTTTGCAATTTAAACTTTCGTACCCCAGATCCAACGGATTCTCGACAATGCAGCACTCTGCCAGATATTAGCCGCTTCCGCCATGTCCTCCTGACGATAACGTCCGGTTGTGTTGAGAATATTATGAGACGCGAGGGGAGGACATCGGCACCAGTTGCAGCTCTCTGGTGGGCTAGAATTCTGCGGAACATCCAGGATAGCTGCGTCGAGGAAGTGACTTTGACGTTCCCAAGGTCCGAGGCATACCCCATGTCGGATATCCACAAGGCACATTGGAACGCTCTCGATGCCGCGCTGACGAGGCCGGAGATGGCGAAGCTGAAGACAGTATATCTGCAAGGCGATCTACGGCAGTTACAGAAACAGATGAAGGTGATACGACAAGCGTTTCCGACATCGCAGAAGAAAGGACTTCTGGTACTGCAGGTGAGCGAAATGTATTCAACCTTGATACGTGATTGACACATGCCCGCAGAGTCAATCGACTGTGTAAAGTTCATTCATAATCCGTCATAGCGGAAACGCTTAGGATATTAAGTCGCATGACACCAAGAAGCCGATGAGAGAGGACATAAACTATATAGTTAGTCCGCGATTAGCACCAAGGTAATAGCGATGAGGAAGAGTGAAGTCAGATTGGTCTGCGCTGATGTGCATGTGTATTCTAGACTGAAATAATAAGTAACTGAGTGACCTGTTGAGTTCAATTTTAAGGGATAATGGGGCGGATGGCTCACGTCATATTACTTCTGAACGCGACCTAACAACTGTATATCCTCGCTTCGGACGTCTGAGAAGAGTCTGCTGCTCTTTCGTAAGAACCTCATGTTCTGCCACATTCTCCACATCCACCAATTCCTTCACTTTGAGAATTTTACCAGCGACTATTGGGTCGTGGGGGAAAAACACAATCTGATTTCGTCGGTGAATGCCAAGGGATTCAAGGGTTCCTTTGACACTGTCTCCTAGTGATATTCCGGAGCGACGAAGGGTGATTTTGTAGTGCGTTTTGGGAGCGTTCTCGAGGGATTGCTTGGTCGCCAATGCCCGTGTCCAGGCCACCCTGAAGTGAGGCTGTCGCAACGAGTTCATCAGACATGAAGACATTGTCTGTAGAACATTAAAGTGCGAACTAAAAAGATAGACCAGCACTTACCCTGGACGCGTTGGAAAGGAAGGAGGAATCAGCACAGCCACGACTCTCTCCGAAATCGGTCCGATCTTCATTCCCACGCTATCCCCCTCCCTTCCCAAATTTTCAAGACGAAGAGTTGTTGCTTCCAGCTCAGAATGGAAGGATCGGTGCGTCCAAGCGATCTTATCTTGGTAATTGACTTACAACAACGTAGGTAGAACTCCAATGTTCTCAACAAATCTATGCAAGGACTCTGGTCAAATCATCGCAAAACCAAGCTTAACCTGAATGCTGCATCGAGCACGCCTCAGAATCCCCCAGATGGACCCTCAACTCCCCCGGTAGATGTGAATATTGAGGAACCGTCTCAAAGCGCTTCTGTAGAGTTACCCTCGGTGGTACCAGAATCAACTGATCCACCAACATCTTCCGCGAAACGCAAAATCAGGTCCTCTCGCGAAGACGGCGCGAAACGAACAAAGCTATCGTCCAATGCACCCCCAAAGAACTACACGCCACCTACTGCGCGTCTATCTGATCTTGGTGGAGTCGATGCTTGTGTTGAGAAGATGCTCGAAATCGTAGCAATGCCGCTTTGCCATCCGGAAGTTTATCTGCATACCGGCGTCCAGCCCCCTCGAGGTGTGTTACTTCATGGTCCCCCCGGATGCGGGAAGACACTTCTTGCCAATGCCATGGCTGGGGTAAGAATTGATCTTTCGTAAGTGACGCGCCTAATATCGAGTAGGAACTTGGTATGCCGTTTATAAATATATCGGCACCGTCTATAGTGTCTGGAATGTCCGGAGAATCGGAAAAGACACTGAGAGATGCCTTCGATGAAGCAAAGGTACATGATTTCGCGCTATTCAATGCTTCATTCTTACGTGGTCCTTAGAGAGTCGCACCATGTATACTATTCATCGACGAGATCGATGCTGTCACTCCAAAACGTGAAAGTGCTCAGAGAGAAATGGAGCGACGAATAGTGGCGCAATTTCTTACGTGCATGGATGGTAAGTTATAGGAGTTTTGTGTCAATTGATGCGTCTTAACGTGTATAGACATGTCATGGGAGAAGAACGAGCACAAACCCGTTATTGTCATTGGCGCCACGAATCGTCCAGACTCTCTAGATGCCGCGCTACGACGCGCGGGTCGATTTGACCATGAAATCAGTATGGGTGTTCCAGATGATGAAGGACGCGAAAGGTCAGTTTCCCTGATTACATTGGATGACGTCTTACATTGTTTGTAGAATTCTACGGGTCCTATGTGCAAAGCTCAGATTAGAGGGAGACTTCAATTTCGCTGCTTTCGCCAAGGCTACACCAGGGTACGTTGGTGCTGATTTATCTGCTCTCACTGCAGCAGCAGGCATCATCGCTGTGAAGCGTATCTTCAAACAACTTTCCGAAGGAACTTTGACTCTGCCTTCCGTCTCTACAGACCAGGATGCTGCCATGCAGGTCGATGAAGTTATTCAAACGTCTGAAAATGTTGTTGCTTCGATTTCACAAGCCCCACCGCCTCCCTCAACCTCGTCATTATCCTTCCCCACCTCCTCCATTCATTCCATAGCCCACTTCCTGAACGCCCATCCCGATTCTTTGACCACCGAGCAATTAGCCCCGTTGTACATCACATCCGCGGACTTCACCGTGGCCCTAACACAGGTCCAGCCCTCCTCCAAACGCGAAGGTTTCGCCACCGTCCCAGACGTATCCTGGGCCGACATTGGAGCATTGCACCGCACCCGGGATGAACTGCATATGGCTATCGTGCAACCCATCAGGAGACCGGAGCTCTTCAGTGCGGTCGGTATTGAAGCGGCATGTGGTGTGCTGCTCTGGGGCCCACCGGGCTGCGGGAAGACACTGTTGGCTAAGGCGGTCGCGAATGAATCCCGGGCGAACTTCATCAGCGTCAAAGGTCCGGAATTACTGAACAAGGTATTCCGCTTTCTTTCTTTCGTTGATTTTATCCAATTCTCATAAATTCAATCAGTACGTCGGCGAGAGTGAGAGAGCTGTACGCCAGGTATTTTCTCGAGCGCGTGCTTCATCTCCGTGTGTGATCTTCTTCGACGAGTTGGATGCCCTCGTTCCCCGGCGGGACGATAACTTGGTAAGGATCTTCCACATGCTGCGCAAAAGACACTTTACTCA